TGGAAGTCTAAAAACTTAGTGTGAACCATAAAACATTCTGTTAAATTGATCATATCTTTCAAACCACAAGGACTTTCTTGATGAAACCTTTTTTGTTTGAAAGTAGACTTAATTTTATGAGTGACAATCCAATTTCAGCTAGAAATAAAGTCATATGATTGGTGAGAAAAATCACGGAACTCAATGGATAGTTCTTGAATTTTGCATGGTCAGAATTAACACCCTTCATTGTTGAGTCCATAACTCTCAATTCCTATTGGATCTCCCACTGAAATTTTGTAGGTAAATCCTACTCTTAAAGACACAAAATATCACTGAAGTATGTAATAGAAAAATACCTCATTATATTCTTCATATCACTACTCCAAAATAGCCTAGAATGTTCATTATGCAGAGTGCCTTTTCGCTGTTGAAATATTTCAATAATTCTTAACCGTGGGTGTATTTCTTTACCATAAAGGTCATTAGCTTTCTTATATCTCATTTTCCAAGCTTGATCTAAACTCAATATCAAGTATCAATATCTCTGATACCAATGAAAGCAAGATCTACGAGATCTTTTATAGGGGAATACACTTTTTTTTTTTTTTCTTCTCACCCCTTTCTTTTGGTAAAAGATCACTTACATGTGGTCTTATAAGATAAATTTCAAAATAAAATCAACATAACAATAAAACCAAGATCTTAACAACTTGATGCCATTTAAACAACTATGCACTATGCTTGAGAATAAAAGATAAGATTGTAAGAAACAAAAGGAAGCGCACCGAAGATTACCTCAATCGGGCTTATTACACCCCACACGGAGTCACAACCATCCGATGGTGCAGGTTAGCGTCAATCTCGAACCGGGAAAGCAAATTTCGACCATGCCACACCAATGGAATATGAACCCCTTTGATCACAAACTCAAATCCTAAGTGAATTCTCTTAGCAACCTAGTTTGAGAGAGATAGATTCTCTTTTTGCTAAACCCTAAAACCCTTAACCATATATTCATATTTGAGAGATATGAGAGAGAAGAACTCCATAACCTAAACCCTTAGGCCATAACCTAAACTTAGGTTCTTTCACAATGTGGGAGAGAGAGATCAAACATGAGAAAGAGAAACTTTTTTAAGACAGAAAGAGATAAAAAGATAAGGTGTAGATATTTTGTATAGAGACAAATTTTTTTTTTCTAGGCTTGAATAAGACTAAGGTTTTTCAGGGTTTTCCTTGGCTTGCCTCTTCTTGTGAGATTGAACATAGACCGTCGATCAAGGGTGACTTGTAGGATGAGAGATCTAAGTCATCCATTCCATAGAGATCTGAGTCATCCATTCCATAGATGGGCCATCAACATTATGTAAGGTGCATGGACCATTATCCCCCTTTCCTTAACCATTTTCCCATCAATAGAAATTATATAAATTAAATCTAATTAAAATATTATGTATTGTATAAGCTTTCACAAAATATTCCAAAGATATATCAAGTCAATATACACTTTCAATATTTTTGTCAATATATGGTCAAACTATTCCATATCTTATTTGACCACATGCCATAACATAATATTACCAAAACATGAAATAACTTAAACTCCAAGAAAGAATCTAATGGGTGGGGCGTGCCACCCATGTGTGGCACATGTGAGCCCCACCCACTTGACACATGGTGGGCCCATGTGCACTATGGGCTCCTCCATGATATTTTATATAATTTTAGATTATAAAAAAAAATTCTAAAATATTATTTGAATTTTATAATTTTGTAAAATCAATATTTTAATTTTTATAAATCTAAAAAAATTATAAATAAAATATCAAATGACTCATAAAAATTCAAATAATAATTTTAAAAATAATTTCTATCATAAAACAAACATAATTAAATTAACTTGATGGGAAATGGATCCATATGGTTAAGGAATTTAATCTGCAATCATGAGACACTCTACAGTCCAAGCAGGGGCTCATTAGCGGGTCTCAAAAGTCTGGCGGATGAGCCAAGGGGTCGCAATCCCAGTCTGTGGATTACAGGTCCTCCCTAAGAAACAAGTAAAGGTCACCAAGACCTTAAGAACCACAGCTCTATGACGCATAGGGTTATCTCTTGTACATGCATACGTTTCACCCTAAAAGGTTGATTTCTGGCTTTTCCGAACGATCTATCGATACGCATGCCGTGTGATGGTACATGGATGAGGTTTTGGCCCCTGTTTCTGTAGGCCACCATAACAAACAAGGGTCACACAGTCCTTCGGCTCACTCATCCGGGCATGTTCTCAGACCTCATCAAGGGCTAACCCATAAACCCTCATTGGTTTGTTCTTCATGTCCATGTAACATGGGTTTTTTCCAACTGACTGGCCTAGATCGTTAAGCATAGATCGGTATCAGTAAACCATCGTTTGCTTAGTATGGTCTACGATGGACCACACTTCCACTGAGTTCATGTTCCACTATATCATTTCATTTTCCAAGTACTCATAAGGCCTTTAACGGCCACATAAACCCAACACTATAGAGATATTTTTCCTAGTTTAAAAGTGCCAACTAATATCTTCTTATTTCTTAATAATAATACTCATATTTAGAGAAATTTACTAGAAGTTGGAAATAGACATAAGAAACTTGATCCAATTTGACACAATCCATGGACAAAAGTACAAAGCTGCCCAGCAAATTTCATCCCTTTTTAAGTCTTTACTCTTTAGACTTTACTAGTAGAAGTTCTACATCATTACCAATTCTTGAAGGATGTTTTTAACGGGAAAGCTTTTTATGTTCCCCCCTACAACATAGAAGTTCTATCATCCCCCTACCATCCAGCCGTCCATTTTTTATCAAGAGAGCCACTTACCGTTTGATCTTAGATCCGATGTCTTAAAGTATTTTATTTTTAGTTTTTTTAAAACACTTTTTCTGAATATGAAATTTGAAACGTGCCATCTTCTCATTGGGGTGCATCTATAAAAAATATTAACAATAATTTTTCGATAAAATAGAATAACCAAAGTACCTCTTGAATATTTCAAAGGTATTTTTATTATTTATTTTATTGAAAATATTTTTTTTTATATTTTTCGTTAGTGAGAGTTTCATAGAGGAATGTACATCCAAAATCTGGTGTCAAAACAGTTTATAGAAAAATAAAATAAAAATAAAACAATATAGAGATGTGACATTGTGATTGGGGCAATCTTACCCTCCATTAAAAAATATACGGTTGGATAAAGAGGAGGAGAGAACTTCTATGTTGTCGGCGGGAACATAAAAAGCTTTCCCATTTCTAACAGCCCTCATCATCATTCAAAGTATTTTTCTAATTAATTAATTTAGTTACATGAATCATCCTTTGTCATTCAGTTCCAACGGCCAGTATGCTTAAAACTCGATCGTAAATAATACTCGAAACTCTTTGTTAATATTCAGTCGCTCTTGGTTAAGTTTACAATTTTGAATGCCCACCTTATTGCCCGAACCCAACCGAAGACGAAAGAAAAATTCAAAAATTGACTTGGTTTCATGTGTGGTCGGTAGAAGGGCTATCTAATAGAAATGTAAAAGTTTTGGTGGTCTGCTATATCACTCTCAAGACAAGGTCCAGCATCAATAAAAGAAAAAAGGGCACTTATAAAGCCTTAAAAATTTCAATTGGACACAATTTCTATTATGCCAGCTTGCATATTGTAGAAATGCGGGCTTGGCAATAAATATGCTTTTTAAATATAATTTGACCCTAATTTTTAGAAAACATATCATCTTTAACATGAAGATCATGAATAGGAAAAACTTGTTTTTTTTTAAAACTAAACATAATAATTATATCAAAAAATTATTTGGACAGTAAGTTATACTTTTTTTTAGATGGAACATTTATTTGCATCCATTTTTAATATGGATGCTTTATACCTCTGTACAGCATATTGTAGAACTGCAGTCCAATCCACATAAAACAATTTTCCTTTTCAATTTGTCACTCGCACGAAACAAATTTTTCTTTTAAGTTGTTCAGTTGTAGGAATCGAATTTGTAATGTAAAGGGCCATTCATCAACACCTAACGACCAACTAGACTCCTACAAAAGGTTGATTTGAAGCTCAAAACCCTATATCATGTACTTGTCAAGTGATGATTACATATAGGGCTCTAATAGATAAATTATTATTTTTTAGTTTTTGTTGATATAAATTTTTTTTGTTAAAAAAGTAAAAAAGCCCAAATGTTGTGTTTTTAAGTGGCTGACCATGGTCTCGGGGGACCAGCTGATGCAATCACTTCATAAATAAAACAATTTGTTTTGAAAAAATATATGAAGATATCATTTTTTTTTATACATAAAAGTGATAATCACTTTGATCGTTTTGAAAATAATTAAAATTAAAAGAAAAATTACTTCAGATTTTTTAACTAACTCAAGCTATCCAATTCTTTATAATAAAATAAATAATCTTATTGTATACCATCCCAAACCATAAACCTTCTTAAAAGCAATCAAAGGCCGGTAAGGACTAATACTTTTACTGAAATGACAAAATGTACACTTCTTAATGGTACATAGCGGAGAAAAAATTTGACATTCTTGTCCAGTAACAAAATAACGATCCAAGGCCCTGGTGCTCTAACTTCTAACTTTAAAAAAAGAAAATCCAAGGGTCCGAGTATTTTGGGAAAAGTTTATGTAAGGCTGCGAACTTATATTAAATGCCTCGGTATTGGAGACCTCCAATAGATTATCCCAATGTCCTAAAAAAAAAATTTTAACTCTAAAAAATAATATCTCTTATAATAAGGTTTTTTAGATTGTTTATTTTCAAAATTTGTAAATATTTCTTGCTCGTTCTCTACTAATTTTAAAGATTGTCTATTTCCAAATTTTATAATTAAATATACAAATAAATTTTCAAACCATCGCAAATTTTTTTAACCCCAGACTAAACAAATTTTCGATGTGCGCCATGGTTCTACAGTTTAAGGAGGTGACCTTATATAGATAGTCTCACCCTAAGAAGAGGCCATCTTATAGGGTGGGGAGGTTGTCATTCACCTTTCTCCAATTTCGTTGATTAAATTATGTTTCATGCGCATGGTTTTTCTTTTGTTTTTATTGCCAAAGGGCACGCACAAAGTCATATATGAACAAATTAAAGCATCCAAAAACCCAAATTTCTCTCAAAAATAAGTTTTATTTTTTGATTGACAACAAACGCTTCAAAGGACGCGAGTTCTGTCTCCAAAGTTCTGATTTTGATTGACGGCCGGGGCCCATCAATTTGCAGAGATCTCCGTTAAATCCCCACATCAAAATTCAAACCAAAAACTGGCTTTGATTCTCTCTCTCTCTCTGTGCAATTAACCCAACAAGAAGAAACCAAGATAAACCATGTCATGGGGGCTTGGGTGGAAGAGGCCCTCTGAGACATTCCACCTAACACTTGGTTATGGGCATTCCCCTGATGATGAAGAAGAGGAAGAAGAAGGCCCAGAATTCTCAACAAAGATTGATCTTGAATGGAATGCAGGTGATGAAGAGGATCAGGTGGCTTTAAGGCTCCAATCTAAGTTAATGGTGGCCTTGCCTCTACCTCAAGACTCTGTTTCTCTTCAATTACTACATCAGAGTGGAGATGGAGAGGAAGAGAGAGTGAGTGTGGAGATGAAGGTTTTGCAGAGGAGAGAGCCTCTGAGAGTGGTTCAGATGTCTAAGACACTAGGTTCAGGGCAACAGAGTGATGGGGTTGGAGTTTTAACGAGACTGGTCCGGTCTAATTTGCCTCAGGCCGAAGGATCGCTTTTGTTGGATCAGCATTGGTTGACTGTTACTGAGCTTAATCTCCGTGCATGTGGATTAACGGTACTATTTTTTTTTTTTTCTTTTTATTTTTTCCGATCTGCTTTTAATTGTTGCTATATTTTCCATTATCATAATTCTTAGAGTTTTTGTTTATTATTGTTATGGGAAATTTGATCTTAATGGATTTTTTTTCTTCTTCTGGTTTTTGGTAAACTGAACTGATTTGAGTTGTTTGGTTTTCTTGAAATTTGGCCCCCATTATTGGATTGGTTCCTTTTCAGTGTAGGCTATTTAAAATTTTTTGTCTTTCTTACTCTCATATGTGGGTTTTGCTGGTTATCTTTGAATTCACTTTGTTGCATTGTGCAAAATGCGAATGTTGTTTTGATTTATTTAGCGTTCTTATCATAAACTCAATCTTGTGCGTCATGAATGGGTAGTTTAGCTCGCCTGGAGGCATGAAATGAGCCTCTGTGATCCCTTCCCTGTCTGTTTTCATTCCGCAATCCTGAATTTCTGATTCTGTGAGATCGTCCTGAGTTATTTGATTCTTTTGATCTTGATTGGGTTTATGAATATGTCTTATTCGGTGGAGCTATACTGCATTTTATCACCGAATTGGAAATTTAATTTATCTCTTTATGCATTTCCCTTACATTTGACATTTTTAGGTTCCTTGTCGGGGAGGCTCTTTTATCTCTTCTGCCATTGAGTATTTAATGTTCAAATTTGATTGTCTAGGAAATCACTTAGCTCTATAAGCCTTTTTTTAAGAATTTTTACTTTGATTTTGTCTTTAAATAACTTTGAGATAGGTGGTACAAATTTATGTTTGCTTTTGTTTGGATTTCTTGGGTCTCATGAATCCTTGAGTGTGTTATACCCTTGTATATATTTTCGGTTTTTGGCCTGTGATCCTGCAATGTAGCCACTGTCTTTGAATATTATTGCAAACTCTTTGGAATGGTTGGGAAGTTTGAACCCATGCTTGAATGGATGGATAGTAATGTATGGTGGAACTAATTCTTATGGGAACTCCAACTCATACTTGTGGATTTGTTTTATGAGAATCTTGAAATTCATCCACACTAACTTCTTTTTCACTATATAACTAATGTCTGCAACCATGGTATTGCATTTTACCATTGTTGACATGTATTCTCTTCAAAATATTGTTAGGTTCTACCTGTTGAACTAACCCGATTGTCACTCCTGAAGAGGCTTTATCTTGACAACAACAAATTGTCACTCTTGCCACCAGAACTAGGTGTATTGAAACGTTTGAAAGTTCTCACAGTTGATCACAACATGCTGGTTTCCATGCCAGGTAAATTTTAAATTTCTCCAGGAGCATGTGATCTGAATGATTATTTTGATTTTGTCAAGTCATTTCATTTCGTAATCATTCAATACTTCTATTTTTTTTGGATTTAAGAACATATGATTTTTTTTTTTTTCTGTTTTCTGGCAATGAATCCAATTGTGTTTTTACTGTTATCATGTTGATCAATTTTCAGATACTGTGCTTACTGTGCCAAATATAAAATGCTTTGTTATTGAAATACATTGATATGAATCGTGATTATTCACCTCGCCATGTTTGAATTGGATAAGCAGTTGAGCTCAGGCAGTGTGTGGCCCTTGTGGAATTATCTCTGGAGTACAACAGGCTGGTTCGCCCTCTTCTGGATTTCAGGTCATAAAATCGGCCATTTTATTCTGTTGTACTGTCTAAGCTAATTAATATTATATTCATCAGAATTTCTAGATTAGTGCCCGCTCAATCTGAAGTTCCTCTTCAGTATATTGGCAGGGCTATGGCTGAACTAAGAGTTCTTCGACTGTTTGGAAATCCTCTTGAATTTCTCCCTGAAATTTTACCTTTGCACAATCTCCGCCATCTCTCACTAGCAAATATCAGAATTGAAGCTGACCAGGACTTGAAATCAGTCGATGTTCGGATAGAGGTAACATATTGTCACTATATCATTACTTATGTGACATTTATTCATTCACTTGCTTAATTCTTCCCATAGCAATTTTCTAACCTTTTGATAAGTGTTCATAATTATTTGTTTAAATTTTTTTCATTCTTGAACAGATGGAGAACAGCTCATACTTTGTTGCATCTAGACACAAATTAAGCGCTTTCTTCTCCCTTATATTTCGGTTCTCGTCATGCCAGCACCCTTTGCTGGCATCTGCACTCGCCAAAATGATGCAAGATGAGGCAAACCGTGCTACTGTTGGTAAAGATGAAAATGCTGTGCGGCAGCTTATAAGTATGATAAGCAGTGATGACCGTCATGTGGTATGTAAATCCCCCCTTTTTGCAGTAATTGGATTCAGGTGTTTTGTTCGTTTTGGTGCTTATTATTGTAATGGCAATAATCATAGTCTGGCAGTAAGTCAAACCATGAGGAGTATGGTTATGTCCTCCGGTTTTTTCCATATATTCACCTAGAAACTAGAAAGAAAATATTTTGTAAACAACTCAGCTAAACAATGTTTCATTTTAGCTAGCTTTCAATAAGTTAAGTTCATCCAAATGGGACTTCATTTCATGAAATTATCATCCAAAATTTGCAGTTGGTGTTTGTTTCATTTGAAAGAGAGGAGAGTTCTGATTTAGAACTGTGAAGTTCATCTTGAAATATTGGCAACTCTTTGGTCTCTGTACTTGAGTTACATCTTACACAGTGCAGGGATGTGCTTCCATTTCTGAGTTGGCTTGATGGTCCGATTACTGATTTTTTTAACCTAGAGACTTTCCAAAAAATTGCTGATCATGAGTACCAAATTCTTGAATCAATCTCTAGGTTTTCGTAAGTTCAGTTATATTATACTATTCTTATTATAGTGCGTTATTGTTCTTTTAATCGTTGCAGGTGAAACAGGCATGCTCTGCTCTTTCATCTCTGGCTGGGGATGTTTCTTTGGCTATGCAACTGATGAAATCTGACATCATGCAACCCATTGTTTCAGTTCTGAAATCCTTTGTTCCTGAAGAACTGATTTCTGTATTGCAAGTTGTTGCGACCTTAGCTTTCGCCTCGGATACAGTAGCTCAGAAAATGCTAAGCAAAGATGTATTAAAATCTCTCAAAGCCTTGTGTGCCCACAAAAGTGCTGAGGTATTTAATCTTGAGTTTTGTTACATAGATTAGTCGCTTGCTTCTGCTGGAAAGTTTATTGCATAGCTGAAGTATTGATGATTTGTTCCCTCATTAGGTACAAAGGCTTGCCCTTTTAGCAGTTGGTAATTTATCATTTTGTTTGGAGAATCGACGCACATTAGTCACTTCAGAGAGTTTACACGAACTCCTCCTTCGCCTAACTCATGCGACTGAGTCGCGTGTGAATAGAGCTGCTGCACGTGCTTTGGCTATTCTTGGTTGGTAGTTGTACTATCAGATTTAAATATCTTGGTCACATGAATAAAAAGGGGAGAGAATTTTTCACTCACATGGCTATTTGATGCCTCTCAACTGATTTAGAGTTTTTCATGCCTTCTTCAGGAGAAAATGAGAATCTCAGAAGGGCAATAAAGGGTAGACAAGTTGGAAAGCAAGGATTACGCATATTGGCAATGGATGGAGGTGGTATGAAGGGTTTGGCCACTGTGCAAATGCTCAAGCAAATTGAACAAGGCACGGGGAAGCGAATCCATGAAATGTTTGACCTCATATGTGGCACTTCGACCGGTGGCATGCTTGCTGTTGCTCTTGGAATCAAACAAATGACCTTGGATCAGTGTGAAGAAGTATACAAGAAGCTTGGTAAATACATGGTTCCACAACTATAGGAAGACATGGGGCATTTCTCCTTTTTTTCTGATGATTTTCATGTGCCCATTTTTTAACTTGTGGTTCCTTACGAAAGCTATGGGGTTCCATAACTCTAAGATACGGGGGAATTCTCTTTTTTTCTGATGATTTTCATTGGCCCATATTGTAACTTGTGGTTTCTTAGGGAAGCTGGTCTTTGCTGAGCCAACCCCAAAAGATAACGAAGCTGCTACTTGGAGAGAGAAGTTGGACCAATTATATAAAAGTTCTTCTCAAAGTTTTAGAGTAGTTGTACATGGATCAAAGGTACGGAAGCATTATGTGCACTTTTAGACTTGTTTTCCTTTAGTTTTTGGAATCAGGGTGGCTTACAGTGCATTTTATTGCAGCACAGTGCAGACCAGTTTGAGACGTTGCTGAAAGAATTGTGTGCTGATGAAGATGGAGACCTCTTAATAGAATCAGCAGTGAAAAAGGTACCCAAAGTCTTTGTGGTCTCAACACTGGTCAGCGTCATGCCTGCACAGCCTTTCTTGTTCCGTAATTATCAGGTTTGCCTTTTTGCTTATTTCTTCTGGAGAGAGTAGCTTTTGCTGACTACTTGTGATCCTTCTGTTTTTATCAGTATTATATCAATATTTATGTGTAGTCTGCAATTTTTGATGTTGGCTGGTAGGTGGTAAGAAATCTTGAGGACAAGAACTTTCTAATGCAGGAGGATGTGTATATTTGCTAGTGGTAGAGATCTATCCCTGAAAACCAATTTTAACAAGTAACTATAGATAATCATTTTTCCAATCAACCCCCCCCCCCCTTCCACCCGCCTTTTTTCTGGTGCATTGGATGATTACTTTAATCAATTTGGATGTGAACTCTTAATTGGCACAAGAAGCTTGTGCTAATTGACTGCAACTCTCAGAATTGATGTAGCTTAACTCAAAATGAAAAGAATGGTGAGTCAGTAACTGGCTAGCTTGCAGTCTTGTTGATTCCTTTCCTCATGGATATATTTGGTTGAACTCTCAAAAATTTGAATGAGTGTGCATAACATGATATTTATGTACCCAATGGGACATAATAGTGTTTTTCCCTGGAGATGGAAAATTCGTCCACTTGGTCTTATCAATTTGCAAATTCTTCCTCAGCTAGTTAAAAGAATGAAATTGGCTGCTATTGTGCAAATTCTTCCTCAGCTAGTTAAAAGAATGAAATTGGCCGATATCGTGATGATACTAGGTAGTATAGATATCATTATGGGAGAAGTTGATCGTTGAAATAATAATTGATACGACAGATCACGTAGGTGACATCTTCTCGGGCTAAGATGCTATGATGAGGGGTACCAACTTTGTGGAAGGCTTCTATCCAAAGTACTAAGCTATCCAATGTAAAATCTCGATATACTATGGCCTAGATCTTGGCAGGTACGAAAAACCTGAAGCTAGGTTAAAAATGATTTAGAATTAAAGCTTTAGAATCAGAGTAATATGTTGCAAAGGATGGTCTGTCTCACATATCTCTGGTACATGAATAAATGAACTCCTATGTGTACACGGTTATTGTCCCCGGATATGTGTGCTCTTCTTTGTCATTGTCATTCAAGGTTTGCTAATTTTGTTGGAAGTCAAAATTGCTGTTTTGTATGGAACTCCACAAAACAACATTTACAAAAATATAGAACAACTTTCCGAATAGTGAATGTATACACATGAAAGTTCCATACTAATTAAAAATTATCCCTAAATATAGAACCTCCACAGATTCCCTCGTGAGCTACCATTAGAGTGAGGTGCACTCAAATATCTGTCTCCCAGTATCCATGATTCCATCTATAGCACATTCTGTTTTTTATGCATTAATTTTGTTTTTCTGTGGTTAAATAGTGGTCTATATGCTTTTTTAATTAATTTTAATCTTTTCATGGTAAAATATTGGTCCATATGCCCTTTGAATTAATGTTAACCGGCATTGGTTTTTTCAAAGTTTATTTGGCAGCAGTTCTACGGGGGGCTCATTTATCTTTTGGAATTGCAGTATCCTGCTGGAACTCCAGAGGTGACCGTTGGGGCATCAGAAAGTCCAGCTATAGGTGGGATTGGCACGCCCATTATAAATGGTCAATCACAGGGTCAAACTGGGCCTAAACGCTGTGCTTTTATGGGAAGTTGTAAGCATCACATGTGGCAGGCTATACGAGCATCATCTGCTGCTCCGTACTATCTTGACGATTTCTCTGATGGTATTTGGAGATCTTCTTATTGTTTCCTTTGATGGGTTTATTCAACTTAGTCTAGATGGGGTATTTGGAAATGAATTGTGTAACGTCAACCAGTTGGGGTTAGTTGGAAGTGAATTTTGGTGTATCAGTATTACTGGATCCAATTTGGTAATGCCTGCTGTCTTGTTTTCTTCTAGATATATATCGTTGGCAGGATGGCGCAATTGTGGCAAATAACCCCACTATAATAGCTATAAGAGAAGCACAACTTTTATGGCCTGATACAAGAATTGACTGTCTTGTTTCCATTGGGTGTGGAAGTGTTCCTACCAAGGTATGTCAGGAACATGCTTTTTGATCAATTTATTTGGTTTTCTGAATTTCGGGTGATATTTTGCCCCTGTATCCATATTTCCACTCCTTTCCTCCCATTTAATTGTAAATTTTGCTTTAATGTTTCATCCCTAGGCTCGAGGAAAGGGTGGCTGGCGTTATTTAGATACAGGTCAGGTGTTGATTGAGAGTGCATGCTCTGTGGAGAGAGTGGAAGAAGCATTAGACACATTGCTGCCGGTGCTTCCTGATATACAGTATTTCCGGTTCAATCCAAGTAAGCCTTTTTCACCTTAAATGGGTCTTTCTTACTACGAATTGCACCTTCTCCCACTTATTTTTTTACTGGACATATGAAAGTGTAATGGCTTGCCTGGTTTGCAGTTGATGAGAGGTGCGACATGGAACTGGATGAGACTGATCCTGCAGAGTGGCTTAAATTGGAAGCTGCAACTGAGGAGTATATAATGAACAGTAGTCAGGCATTTAAGAATGTCTTTGATCGCCTTGTTCTTGATGAAGAAAAGTGGTCAGAGAAGTTCAGATCACTTAATTTTTCAAACTCAAAGCCTAGCAATACAGGTTATTGTTTTTATATGCTCTATTTTTCTCTGTTAAATTAAATAAATTTGAGTTCAGGAAGTTCAAGTCTTGTTTGCTGATGCAGGGGTGGTTATAAATTAGTAAGTTTGAAATTGTAACTTCAGAGAAAAAGAGAAACTACTAGATAAACTTCAAAACTTGGGGCCTTCTTCTAAGTTGTATTAAGTTAGACACCCTATGGGGTCTTCTTCAAAGTCATATAGAGTTAGAGAAACTAAGGCTCAGAAAACTTCAAATTCTTCGTGTGATGATCTAGGGAAAAGCCTGAAATGTCTGATGTATTTATTACAGGGCATGATGAAAGTGGCCCATGCTTAGGTTGGAGGCGCATGGTGCTCTTGGTAGAATGCAGTCATGGACCAGATACAGGGAAATCTATTTCTCATGTTCGATCGCTTGAGACATTCTGTTCTCGTAATGGAATAAGGCTGACTCAGATGAAGCGAATGTTGGATTTCTCGAAGCCTGGAACAGCAGTTCCGACACCCTTCACATCACCATTGTTTAATGGAAGTTTCCCATCAACCCCACTCATGTTCAGCCCTGAAAATAATCAGCAGAGAGCAAATCGTATTGATCTTGTGCCACCTCTGAGCCTGGATGGTTCTCTAGCAAAGACAACTGTTTCTCCACCTCAATCACCACATTCAGGACCTAGACAACTCTCCCTGCCCGTTCAATCATTGCATGAGAAACTACAAAATCTGCCTCAAGTTGGGGTTGTCCACTTGGCCCTTCAAAATGATTTAATGGGTTCTATTTTAAGGTCAGTTATCTCATTTTTTTTTCACATGCTCATGGAGTTATTTACTTGTCCCAAATAACTTCATCATTCATATA